TTGTCACACTCATTGTTATAAAATTCTAGCTCCGTCACTTCAAGTGACCCATAACGACCCTCACTCGTTAACAATTTGTGTCGGATTAATAGGCATGCAAGAAATTGACATGCCTAATGTCTAGACCTAACAAACAGGTCGTGTTTGTGTCATTTACCCCTTATCCTAACGGGCTATCAACGTGTGACCCGATAACAACCCAAACTGTTAACGGATGACTCGATAACAACCCGATTCGTTAATGGGTTGAACCAAAACCTATTATCTTTGTATCATTCCGTGTCAAGTTAACGAATTGTGTAACAAATCACCTGCTCTTATTTGAGCCATGATCATATCTGAGTACCCTATATTTCACTACTTTTCTATTCCTCCCTTATTCCAATTCTACTCCCAATTCCTATCTCATTGATTTTCTATTTTCTCTAAACTTCGATCTTCCTTTTGAATGGCTTTGCTATGACATACTCATGCTTTTGGCATTCTTTTTCAAAAATGACTATTATTTTTTTTATGTGCAGTTAGATCATTGGAGTTCGGATCTATAGATCTGTCAATTAATCAACAGGTTCTTCATGGACTTATATGATATATTCAATGGTAGTGCATCTTCGATCTTTGGTGGCAGTCACAGTTTAGAGTGATAGGTTAATTTAGGGTTTTTGAATTTTTATGGGTTGTATGAGCTTGGCTATTTGTTATGCTCAACATTGGTGATATGAGCTACGTGGTTATCAGTGTGATGTCCTCCATAGTTATGCGGTTTGGCCACATTCTAGTTCTCTTTTTTGGGTAGTTTTAACTACTGATATGTTTGATGTTTTATAGTCGTTTTTTTATGTATGATTGAATTTTATCTATGAATATTATTTTACATATATAAAGAAGAAATAGAAGGAAATTATTTTTTTTGGTCAATTACATGGAGCAATGATGGTTTGATATATGGGATGTGCATAGAAATATTGATTAGATGTATAATTCAACCTACCAAACATAAGAAATGACTCAATTGAGTTGAAGTGGGCAACCTATTCAACATGGTTAGCTGTATCCTCCATCCACACGTCAATTTATATTTCCTCACCAAATCATCGTCTCATCTTTCATTATTTCTTGCTTGAGCTGCTTATTACGATTTAGTGATATTCCTTTTTACTTGTAAAAAAGATTTTAGGTTCTATTCTCGTCAAATACGAATATGAACTATGGTATTAGTAACCGATTATGAGGCTAAACCTACATCTTCATTTTTAATGTACATAATATCGTTTGTAAAGGAAAATAGAAAAAAAAAAAAACAAGGGATTATTTTAATTAAATATGGGTACGGTTGTGAGGAAATATGGTAAGATCGAGTGGGAAATACTTTTCAACGAAGGCCCATCTATACCGTCTGGATGACGTGGCATAACGTGGAGCTTTCATATCCTCCACGTGAATTTTATTTTGTTTCGGCGGCGCCACGACGTGTCTAGCGCGTAAAGCCAATCATTCGCAGATTGGCGGATCGGAGAGGGTATTTTGTCAATACCCGCAGACACCATCCCTTTTTTCGTTCTCGCTTTTGCCACCTTCCACAAACTAATGTAAATAATATTTTAACATTTTAAACATGAGTTTTTGTTGTTAGGAACTCCTAAAGATGTTTACATGGTGATTTCTTACATACCCAGTTCAAGATGCATGGGACCAAATATTAAACAAATTAAAATTACCGCATGAATTAGTATACAAATTCTTAGGTTGTTTTGGTGTAGGTAAAAATAAAGTTGGATGAATATGCTTGGAGGGTTTACATTTATTCTTCTTACAACAATATTATTCTCCTAAGCTAATAAGCGAATTGTTTGAACCTGAAATACAATAAATTAAAAAAAAAAAACCCGAATTACTTGGATAATCCACAAAATTTGACATTTACTTTTGAAGAAAGATATGACAAGTTTTGTTCTACTTACCATACAAAGATTTGATAGGGAATTGAGATTTAAAAGTTATCTAAAGGACACTCATCTGTTCTCTAATTAGGCAGGGAGTTGTTTTCTTAAGTGAGACTAGCATATGCACGTGGTGGGTCTGTGCCCGTCCCTTGGAAAAAGACCTCGGAGAGATAGAGATTAGAGAGAGAGAGAGAGATAACAATAATTGAGAGAGAGAGAGAGAGAGAGAGAGTGATCAGTGAGAAATGGAAAGGCGGTTTGCTTAAATTGTGAGAGAAGCCTTTCTTTCTAATGGTTCTGATCAATCTGGAATTTGTGATGTGGAATTGAGTTGTTTGGATTAATCTCCACCAATGCATTTTAGCACCTAACTTTTTCTGCACAAACACAAACATGACGAAAACATGGAGATGGTTTTCTGACTGTATTTTCCAAAAAGTGAAATATATATGTCTTTACCTTCTAAAACTCTCTCTCTCTCTCTCTCTCTCTCTCTCTCTCTCTCTCTATCTACATATGATCAATCTTTTTATCTTTTTCGATTTGTGGCATAACACTTTTGCCAGTTCATTTTCCCATCTACATCTTCTCCAGTCTTTTATTTATTGTTTTTTATTTTTTAATATATGCATACAGACAAAATAACTCTTTCATGTAGGATGTGTAAGGTTCAAGCCTTCAGAGGTTGTGGAGCAATTAATCAATACCATACCTTATGATTAACTGCTTTTATAATACTACTATATATTTACACAAATCAGTAAAATTAGTCAAAGTCATACAATAGACTAGCTATAATAATTTGATATTTAACTTACCATTCACAAAAGTCGAATCTAAAATCTCTTATTTACAAAAAAGAAAAAAAAATTTTCAAAGCCATAGGACCACATGACTATCTAATTCTTTCTTTTTAATTAGGAAAATTCTACTGTATCATTTGAAACAAAGGTATTCGAATTGACCATTATCGTTGTTACTTTTGGGTGCCATACTTTCATGTTTAATGGTGCTACGTGTGATGTTAATATTCAATATTCCAATTACGAGAAATGTAATTATCACTAAAGTTTACAGTCTAGAGTTATATATTAATAATAATTAAAAGTTATAGCTAATAATAAAAATTAAGCATTATTATTACTGCAATAAGTTGATGTTTTTGTTGTGGATGTTATATTACATTGTCGAGGTATTTTTAAAGAAATAGAACTAAAATCGTTTTTAAAATAACAACAAAAAATCATTTTAGACATATTTTAGTTTTGAATTTAAATTTATACATTTTTAAATTTCTTTCCGGCCTTAAAAAATGTTTTATATGCAACCGAGTGTATAAATTCTCATCTCACGATAAACAAATCATATGACCGATTAAGTTGTTATTGAAACTTCATAAAAAAATCCTCCCTCTTAATTTTCTGTAAGTTGTTACTGACACTTTAAAAAAGTTATCATACACCCCAAGTTTATAAAAATAAAAGAAAAAAAAATTGTTTTGAGAGGAGTGTATGATGACATTTGTGAAATGCCAATAACCAAACCCAATTTTTATGAATAAAAAAAAAATAGAGGCAAAAAGCTCTTACACAACCACTCCCAACACAATTGTAAGAGTATCTACAAATGAGATTTCAAAAAGTTCACATCAACAATAACAGTAATTCATATGTGACATGACATAGAATGACCACAAAGATGGTTGCTATCAAATTTGACAACAACGATGGTTGCTATCAAATTTGATAGCTTCTTCAAATAATTTTTAGTTAACTATTAAATACATTTTATTATTTTTTTAGGGAAGTGTTATTAGCACTCCAAAAATCTTATTCTACACTCCTCACAGGTGTATTTTTCTTTCATAATATAGAAAGTTTGGAGTGTAGAATGAAATTTTTGGAGTGCTAATAACAATTCTTTTCTTTTATTGATTTAAAACATTGTCTTTTCATTTCCTTTCAGTACAAATGCAATTCAATTCCTCCTATTACCAATACAAAGAAAATAAATATGAGATGCCTTCCCTCGTGGTGCCTGTATCATGTATGTTAATACTCCAGCTTGTAAGGTTGTCGCCTAAGTGTAATCTTTCATGTTAATTGGATGTGGACTGCAAAGTCAAAGGTTTTGGGATCATGGCATGCATTCCTGTTACCATGTTAGTGGGACATGATTGCTCATAATTCCGAAATGTAGAACCTATCAATAGACGTTGAAGGCTCGGTGATTGTTTTTTTTAATTTTTAATTTTTATTTTTCAGTTTAGGAAGGCCAAATATGTGTAAAGTTTGAACTCAGTACAACGGAGGAGAATGATTTTCTATTAGATGATTTTCCCTTACACTTGATCAGGTATTTGGACACAAGTAAGAGAAATCTTTCGGAGAAAATGGCACTTTATGGTATCCTTATTGGATATGGGTGCTGATGGTCGTCCAATTTGAAAGACCAATTGCTTAAAGTAACTGTGATTATTAGTTAATGACCTTAAACTAAACATTTGTCAATCTTCAAGGAGTGCATCCTGGTATATATCCTGAGACTCCTCAAACTAACAAGACTCAAAAAATGAAGATAAAGGCCGATTTTGGCCAATCTTTGCGCCACCTTATAATTGGTAGATCTACCAACATGACATACTTGAGATGTAACGAACCATTGTAGCCCAGTTTTGATATCATCAGCAGCCAAGTCCAGCTAGGATGAGCCACCACGCAGGCTGCCAGCAGCCTGAAGAACCTGGACGGCATCACTCTTGAGCGCGACCTGAGTCCGCTGTCATTCTAGATCACCAACTGGACCCTCTCCCCATCAGCTAAGACCTCTACCGCATCGGGACCTGTCACATGAGATACTTTGTGAACAAAACCTCCCGCATAGCTACTAGCTTTGTTGCGAAATACTACCCCAATGTCAGTGGCAGCACAGAACGCTTCGTCAACATTAATCTTCAACCACTGCGGAGGAGAAGGTTGCTCTTGTTTTCTTGGTGGTGTATTTTCGTATTTGCCTCTTTACTCAACAATCGCATAGTAATTTAGTAAAGAAGGTAGGTTAGCTGGCTCTCAAAACGTTGAAAACCATTACAACAAAAGCTTTTATTACCCAAAAAAAAAAAGGACTCATGAATTAATGTCAAAGGAATCTCAAATTGTTCAAATATGCACACGATTCACGAACGGTAGCTAATCCAATTCAAATAGCTGTTGGACATTGTAAGGCCCTGTAACGTTTGGTGTTCCACTCCATATTAGGTCTGCTAATTGGAGGTTTAACCTTTCAGTCGTATGCACACCATCAAACCACACATAATCTCCAGGGTTGCTGCACAGTTCATATGTTTCCGTTCCATTTTCTCCGCCGCAATTTGATCCCCGATATGCTCCAGTACCACAACAGGCATCCGTACTATTGTAGAAGCCTTTCACAATAATGAAACAAAGAGCAATTCCAATCAATATATATGTTTTGGCCTAGGTTAAATCATTCTTGTACGTATATTGTAATGGTCAGAGCCAGTTGATAGGCGACGTACCATATTTTGAAGGATTATTTACCCTGTCATCAATTGCATCATAATATTCAAATATTGAATATTTGAATCCTGGTTTCTGGCTCTCCAAATTTTTGAGGATATTAGCTAGAGCTTTATTATGTAACCTGGCCAGAGCTGAGAGTCCTCCAACACACCCACCATCAGCTTGAGGGTAGCCTTGCTTATCTGCAGGTCTGCAGCCTAGAGGTCCTACATTCTGAAATGCAATTTTCCTTCCTCCTAAATTATATAGTTCCTACAAAATAGAGAAATTACGTGATTAAACACAACAGTCTAATAACATAACATGTCAAATATTGGTCTAAAAGTACTATTTTGTACTTGGAGCACACTTGTCAAGTTTCCGATCACAGTTGCTACGAAATCCTGCCGGTGAGACTCAGTGGCATTTGGATTAGTATTGTAGAAGGTAGAATAATCATTCGTTCCCATGTTGATCAAGTAAACAGATCTTTTCAACAAACTCTTGGCTTCTACATTACCCAGTTGCTGTTCCAGCAACTTCGTCGCCTTCTTAAAATAGCTCAACTGCTTTGGAAAACTTAGCTGAGAAACAAATAGTACATCATAATTAAAGAGAAAAATCAAAGAAACAGAAAATGACCCGTTAATACGTCGAAGTTTCTGACGTGGGATTCCACTATTCTTTATCATTCCCAATTTCATTCATAAAATGCTCGATTAATTTGCAGATAAAGATGAGTACTCACAGTTCCTGGACCAGTTTCAACAAGAACTCCAGATCCAGCTGAAGCAAAGTTGGCGCCATCAGTAAATACACGCGGACCAGATTGCAGGTATGGTGGAAGCATAGCCAATTTTGCAAAATTAGCTGCAAAGCAACATTAGGTGACACTAAATTTGTAACTTCTGCTAGAATTTGTATCAATATATGCTTGAATATGTCAATATTGTTACAAATCTACTAACACAGCTAACATCTTAGTGACAAGGAGACTGAAGAACTGAATCAGGATAAGTCAAAATTCGATCCTGCCAATGCAACAAAATAAAATAAAAAAAATCCTCTTACCAATGAAATCCGGGACTAAGCGTCCATCGGAAAATCTTCCAGTGGGATGGCGGAAGAAGGTTTCCCCATATGGCCAGTTCATTGCAGCGACGCTCAAATTAAGGTATTGATTGTTGCCGGGATCAAATAGTGAGGCCCCAAACACAAACAAGGCCTTTTGTTGTGACTCATATGCAGGCTTGGAGTTTGAATGATCATAATTAAGAAGGCAGCTAATTGGGTTGAAAAGGCTTATGGCTAACACGTATACGATGCATCTAAGACTTGCCATGATGAATCGAGCTTATGGAAGGTTGGTTCCCTCCAAATATATGCAGAGCATGAGAGGTCTGAACTCTGAGACTCGGTCACACCCAACAGGATCCTCTCCGGATCCTTTTGACGAGGATCGTAAGGATCCTTGAATCGTGTCCGTTCATCGTACATCGTACAGTTAATTTTGTCAGATACTGTTTGTATTTAATTTTAAATAAAAATATTTAAAATAATTTTTGACCGCATGATGTATGATGAACGGATACAATTCATGAAACAGGGAGGATCTAGATTCCAATCACACAACTTGATTATCTCTAATTAAAAAGTTAGAAGTCAATTTTGATGTCTCAAGACTTCACAAAAAAATAATTGGACTAAAATATTCCTAAAACAAAAAAAAATCTAAAAATGAACATTTTTTTTTTCAACAATAAAAATTTCATTAAATACGAATGGAAACGTTTACATCAGCTGCCAAAGTATTGAATAACCACTCTAGCTCAAACTTAAAACAAACATGAGAGCCACCCCCCTTAGACACAAACACGCCACTAAATGGGCTGCTTTATTACAATCACGAGAAACATAACGAAACTCAATAAACCTCAATTGTTGCTGCAGAATTCGAATATCGAAAAGGATGCCTTCTATCATTACCTCACTCTACAAATTACTATTTATCATCGCAATAAGATTTTTAGAACCCGACTCTATATGCACGTCTCGGAAGCCATGCTCCACGCACGCCCCTACCGCGGCTCTAACTTCCTCTGCCTCCGCCACTAAGCTGGACACACATGGGTACTTGCCGACACCACCTGCTGCCTTAAGAATCCCAGTGAAGTCCCTTGCAACCCATCCAAAACCTCCCATCCCCTTACTTCAAGCGCCATCGCAGTTAAACTTCACCACACGAAAAGGAGGGCGTTCCCATGTCCTTTTCACAGCAGGTGGCTTTGAAAGGTTCCGCTGCTCATCCACCTTTGCCGCAGCCCACTGCTCCATTTCCCTTAACTCCAATTCTTGTTGGTGAAGCAAATTTAGTGCTTCCATTGGATGTATCAACCGTTTCTCTAAAACCATACAATTCCTACATTTCCATAATCTCGACAAACCAAACACCAACCACCGAATAATCTCCTCAGACTAATTAACCAATTCCAACACTCCAAAAGATCATACCCCTAGATCATGGTAGAGTCAAGATTAATGGGACTAAATACATAAAAAAACACAAGGGTAATTTTGTAAAAAAAAAAAAATCCAATTTAAAATTCGTTTTATTCTCTAATATTAGAAAGCCAGAAGTCAGTTTTGATGTCTCGAAGCTTCACACACAAAATAATTGAACTAAAATATTCCTAATACAAAAAAAATCTAAAACTGACCATATCTAATACATAAAAAAAAAAAAATAAATACAAAAATACAATAACAAAAAGCTGGATGATTTTGTAAAAAATCGTTTTATTGGAAAAAAAAAATGAAAAGAAAAACAAATAAAAAAGAGACGTGCTAAAACCCTCAAATAAAAAATAGAACGTGAAAATTTGAAAAACTACACCCATGTTCATCAAAATGTAGTTTCTATCAAACTGAATTGCCAATATGATACACCTGACCCGGAATGTCCACTTGGACTTTGAATCGAGTTGTGCTGGCCTACACTTGGAGGGTGACGATGCTATAAAGTGTAATGTAGTGGAAAAAGGATGTGAATAAATTTAAACCTAAAAGTGCCTAGTCAAAAGAGTGCGCGGATGAGCGGGATTGAACTCATTTCACATGTGACGTCAGAGAATAAAACAGTATAGTAAATAGGATGAGGGTCATACTACTGAAGATAACCATCTCCTAAAATTTGCTAGAATCCTTGTTTACACGTAAGCACAGCTACTAAACCTGGAGGGGCGAAAAACAAAGTTGAGTGGGTCAGCAAAACAATGTTGGTAAGAAAACCTTTATTTTCAAACATAGTGACCTCTCGTTGTTAAACAAGTATAGTTTCCGTAAAACATACTACGTAACTATGTAACAAAAGTACAACAACAATATAACCAGAAATATGCCAAGTCATGATATATCAAATGCATCAATAATATAATCATGTGATAATCAAGTATAACTAAGTGCTCATCCAACTACGCTAACACACTAGTTTGTATAGATAATTTCTTACACGAACATGACTGGGTGTAATCAATATGCTATAGTACTACAATCACGTAAAGGCTGGTGTCGAAGCACGGTCACATACGAGTCGAAATTGCCTAATGCAATATGTATGACAGGACTGACACCTAACTTGGATCCAAGGTGAGCGAATGGCGCGGATGTGAACATACACGTGAAGGACTGGCCCTGGTGCTGGGGTGAGTACTAACACTGAGGTGCAGCAATGATGAGCATGTACAAATATGTATGAAAGTCATGATAGTAATATCCTAACCATATAGCAACATTTATCACATTTAATATCATAATAACGATACTTGGTAATATAAGCATAAAATGAAGTAAATACGCATTTATGGAAACTATAACTACGTATAAGTATAAAAACAAACTGCCTACTCACAAATACGTCATCGGATCGGAGCCGCCGAGCCTTGCCTGACCCCTCAAGTTCGTGGGATACGTTTCCCCTATATGTGAAATAACTATTTTAAATTAATTAATAACACATATACGGAAACTTAAATAAAACCCCTATAGTTTGCTAAAACCTAGGGTTTAAATATATGAAATCGATCTACTCGACATCACAGACCTACACAAATTGACAGAAAGCAAATCGGAGGCCAGACGCGCCCTTATGTGCAGGCTAAGGCACGGCCATATGCACCACCATGTGCAGGCAAACCCCTGATGTCCGTCAGGAATATTCCATTAAATAACTAACAGAGTTTAGCGGCGTTACCTGATGCCATTAGAATACTCCATCGTCTTCTCCGGTGGTCCTTGCCTATCGTCGCCGTTCACCGTCGTCTGAGCTTGTTAGATTCTGGGTAAAATTTCAAACCTTCATAACTTGCTCATTTCTAAACCATTTTCCACAAAATTTATATGGAAATGAAGCTTATGAAGAGCAGAATCGTGTTATACCTTTTTGGAGTCCAAAAAGTGGACGGAGGTGGCTTGAAAAAGCCTCGAAAGGTCTAAAACTGGGACTCCTCGAAACCTTGTATTTCGAGGTTGTTTCTTCACCAAACCTTCACTAAAGGCCTCGGGGAGTTGTAAGAAAGCTTCCCCGACCTTCAAAACTCCTCCACTCGGTTTGAAAACATTGAACTCAAACTCCCTGAGTTTAGACTTTCCGAGTTCGACGTCCAAAACTCAGTCAACTTGTGATCCAGTGGTATGGTTGTGTTCGTGGATTTAAGGAAAATCCAATGGTGAGGTTTGTTTGTCACGTTTATGTGTTTTGGTGTGAAGTTAAGAGGGAGTTGCAGAGTGAGAGAGGTTTTGAGTTTGAGAGAGAGAAGGAGAAGAAAAAGAGAAAAAGGTGCTCTCTGATTGGGTGAAGGGTTTGATGGTGATGATTTGATTGGTTGCTTTCAAAAGAAGGAAAACAATTGATTGGGTGGTGAGAAGGAATTCAAGGGAAAAACAAAAGTTTGATTGGTGGATGGTTGTGAAGGAAGGGGATCAGATCCACCAATTAGGGAAAGGATGGATTTTGCACAATTTTAAATGTACAAAATCTATCCACCTAACAGTGTTCTGACACTGCAAATTTGTACGCGTGTGAGCAAATATACCCTATAGTTAACGTACTTTAACGGAGCATAACTTTTTCGTTACAAATTTGTTTTGGGTCTAACTCGCGTCCACGCGTTTGTGACGGCGAGTACAATTTAAGTACGAAACCAGGAAAAAGAAATTGAAAGCCGAAACCACGTCCACGTCAGATTCCACTTTTGTCCAAAAAGGGTAAAAACGTCAAAACACATCAATGAAAATGAAATTCCAGTGAAAAGTAAGGACGGGTCGTCACACAATATATCCTTATACAAATCTCATTTAAATTCAAGAATCAGAAAGGAGAAGCGTGCATAGAGTCTCCATCTTATGAAATTCCAAATGTCTTCTCAACCAGGTTGGCAACATATTATTTGGTTACACAAATATATTTTATAGCAAATTGTTTCTCCGTTCATTGCAAAAATCAAGGAGAAGAGAACGAGGGCGAGGCGGAGGATGAAATAGAGAGCCAAATCAACAAAGAGTCTTCCCCAGTACAACTTCTCAACTCTCAATCTTAATCTTTTATTCTCAATTATCAATTTCAATCATTTCCTCCTATCAATCTTAATATTTTTAGTTTGTATCTCTTTAGATTAATTCAAAAGGTTGTTCCTCCTGTGCATTAATTAGTTTTGCAGAAATTTGCATTTTTATGTTCCTTTTGCTAATGAGATTATTTTAATTAATTTAATAAATTTTTCATTGTTGTTTTCTGGGTAATTGAATGTTTGAATTTGTTTTGCTATCATTTGGACATAAAGTTTCATTTTTTGTGGCATTTGTATATGAGAGATTGATCAGGATCATCATGTTTAGCTTCATTTTGTTTATTTGCTTTTCTCTTTCAAGGTGAGAAGCTTGTGGTATCTTAATTAAAATCTAACGGTGCAAAAGTCTATACAAACTTTTAGCTAAACAAAATTAAAATGAAAGAATGTCTCTTGACAAGTACAAATATTAAAATTAAACATTGCACATTGCGCTTAGCGCATGGTAACTATAAGAATGTCTTTATGCGTGAACAAATGTAAAATGAAAAAATAACTCCACACAACGCGCGTAGCTTGCCATGATGTAAAAAAAGCTTTTCGCATGCACATGAGCGCGTGTAGAAAGGCTAGTACATTACAACTAAGCTAGCTTATCAAAGGACTAGAAGACTAGCAGAAAGAATCATATATTTTAAGGGTTTTTAGGATTTAGGACTTAAATAAGATTTTTTTTAGATTTTAACCTGGAAAGGTTTTATAAATCTAATTTAATTCCATATTATTAAAACTTACCATATTTGCAAGTGGCCATTTACCACAGTGGTGGAAGAAGTTGAGCCCTCGCATGGTGACGTGAG